GTTCAGCTGTAAAATCTTAAATAACACAACAACCTAAGTTCCGTTTAGTATAGTTGTGGTTTTGGAATTTTGGTTTTTGATTGTTATAGATTTTGCAGCTCTAAACAAAAACGCATTAACTTTTACGCATTTCCTCAACATATTATGATGATTTTTAGAGATTAAAATTAAAAACTTGAGTCTTTATTTTTGAGATCTCAAGTTTGAATCAAGTTTGAATCATCATGGGATAGTTGGGAAGGGGCTTTGGGTAGGGGAGGATCACCTTTTTTATATTCAATATACTTTAAAAAATACAAATATAAATAAAAAATAAAAATAAAACAACCTACATCGTTAGGAAAGTTTCATCTTTTGATTCTGATGAAGGACTCTCGAACACATTTCTTCTTTTTTCTTTCACTTTTTCACTAAGAGACAAGTCTCTTTTACACTCTTCTTGTGAAGAAAGCATTATTTTGGACAGATCAACCCTTACTAAACAAAAATTTGTTTACTTTTACACATTTTTGTAACATGTTATGATGATTATTAGTGAAATAAGAATAAAATTAAGAATTTAAGTCTTTATCTTAGAGATCTCAAATTTGAATCATTGAATGGTTGGGAAGGGGTTTACACAGAGGAGGGTCATCCTTTGTTATATAGCATATCATCTAATATACATAAAAAATAAAAATAAAATAAAAAATAAAAACCCTACAACATTAGGAAAGTTTCCTGTCTTGATTCTGTGTGTTCATGAATAACTCAACTCAAACACATATTTCTTCTTTTTTCTTTCCCTTTTTCACTAAGAGATAAGTCTCTTTTACACTCTCCTTGTGAAGAAAAGCATCAATTTGGACAGACCCTTACTAATCAAGGATACATCAATTTCAAGTTAGAAAAGATACTCTCCAATCAATTTTAGTTACTTTAGTATTTTTATTCAATAAATTAGAGATATACTTTTCTTGTCTCAAAATAACAGTCATTTTTTTTTTTAATTAGGGATTTGAGGACAATTTATATGTTTACCTTTATTACTCTTAAAAAAATAGAGACTTTTCATGATAGGATGATTATTTAAAGTAAATAAATAATGAAAGGGTAAAACTAAGAAAAAAATTATTGTTTACCTTAAAAAATGAGAAAAAAATTATTATATTTATTTTAAGACACTAAGAGTAATAATAAATTGATATAATTTCATATATTTATCCCTCATTAACCCCTACTTAAAGAAGTATACTTATAGTAATTTATGTTATAATTGTCATTTTAAAATAAGGGTAAAATAAGAATAGAAACATTAGATGATATCTTCAGACGGAAAAATAGACAATCAAAGTATCACATCTAAAGTTAAACGAAGGTAGTAAAAAAAAGGTTAAAATAGTTCTATTTTAGTCCTCAACTTTTGTAAGGAGCCTTTTTCTTTGTCTTTTAAAATTACTTTTTTGGCCATTTTTGGATCACTCCGTCAGCTAAATGATGACATGGCACTGTTTCTAGTTAAGTATTTTATATGTTTTAATTATTAATACTGACATGGAAAATGAAACTGTGCATGTGTAAAATCTTAAATGACACAACAACAAAGGGACTGTTTAGTATGATTGTGGTTTTGATTTTTATAGATTTTGCAACTCTAAACAAAAACTCATTTACTTTTATGCATTTTTTAAATATATTATGATGATCATTAAAGATTAAGATTAAGAACTTGAGTCTTTATCTTACTCCTGAGATAATTGGGAAAGGGTCTTGGAGATCTCAAGTTTGAATCATGAGATAGTTGGGAAAGGGTTTGGGTAGGGGAGGGTCATCCTTTGTTACACAGCCTTTCATCCAATATACCTAAAAAAAAAAAAACCCCTTCATCGTCAGGGAAGTTTCATCTTTTGATTCTATGTGTTCATGAAGGACTCAACTCAAAAACATTTCTTCTTTTTGCTTTCCCTTTTTCACCAGGAGACAAGTTTCTTTTACTCTCTCCTTGTGAAGAAAAGAATCAATTTGGACAAACCCTTACTAAACAAAATTTTTTTTACTTTTACACATTTTTGCAACATATTATGATGATTATCAGAGAAATAAGAATAAAATTAAGAACTTGAGTCTCTATTGTGTAGATTTCGAGTTTGAATCATGGGATGATTGGGAAGTGGTTTGGGTAAGGAGGGGTCATCCTTTGTGATAAAAGCATGAAAATGTATATTTAAAGTGTGCTTAACCATTGACATTTGTGGAATTATGAGTTTAAGAGTTTTATTTTTCTACAAGTAATTTCATAAGTGTTCATTTTATTCATGTTGTGCAAATTTTATGGAATTGAAGGTTGATGTTAAATGGAAAAGAATTAGAAAAAGGACTTAAATGCAAGGAGCAAATTGAAAAGATCAGAAATATGATGATCAACTTGCGTGGAATCCAGGAGTTAGGGACCAAGACTGTTATTCTGCCATTAACCAAAATTGCACAAAAAGCCAAAAACCCGACACGGAGATGCAGTTGACGCTCCACTCAGAGTGCCGGCACCTTGTAAAGAGTGTCGACTCCTTGCGCGATAATTCAGCCAAATCATATCTGTCCTACTTATTGTGATGTGGGCCCCACAGCCATTATAATTAGGGTTTTTATGATAGGCGGTTACCAGACTTCTATTTTCTTCTTCAAGGCTAGAGAATTATGTCAAAGGGCAACTAAACTTTCAACAAGATTAGGGAGGATCTTAATTGAAGAGTTTGACTTGTTATTTTATTTTGATTCCTTCATAGATTTTATTGTTTAATTTTATTTTTGAGAGATTATTAATTATTTTCAGACCTAAAAACCTTGAAAATTATCTTTATCAAATTTCATATATGATTAGTCATGCTCTTTTTATGTGTGATTTGTTAGAATATAATTGATTGGTAGATTTGTTTTGTGGGTTGGTCCTTTACTGCAGTATTGTCGATTAGATATATTGTGGCTCTCGGATAGCTCGTAAGGATAGATCAGTTTGTTCTTCATTGAAATTAATTTTTCTCAGAATAAATACATCAGTCATTATTATTGGTTTTCTCAAAATTAATTTTTCGATTGTTTGTTTGGGATGTGAAACATGCAATTGAGTAATAAAT